ATGTCTACCTCCTGGAGACTGTTGTTCACTTGGTTGGCTGCTGTGAACAGGTTTGTCTTTACCATGGAAATAAATCTGTGATCATCCACCACTGTTGTCTTGCAAGGTGGTCCAGGTCTCTTTGAGTTGCTGAGTTTACCGGTGCTGTCTTACTTTCTTATGATTTACCAAACTGGAGAGTTTGGTCAATCTCACTCCTAATATTGCAGCATTTTCTCAGATGTTTTTTTCTGTTTTCACAGCTTAAGTAGGGCTTGTTTCACCTGCATGTAGAGCTCCATTGACCGCATGTTGTCTATTCACAGCAAAATCTTCCAAATACAAGCACCACACTTCCAATGAACTCCAGGCCTTCTATCTGCTTAATTGATAATGACATAACGAAGGAAATTCCCACACCTGCCCATGAAAAAGCTTTTGAGTCAATCCCTTTAAAAATAGTCTGGCACATGTTAAAGAGCTGAAACTCGTAAACCCTGCAACCAATTTAAAAGTGGATACCCTCAAATGAAAGCTGAGAGTCTACAATTATGTCCATGTCCATTATATAACCATAATTGCAATATGTTTCAGTAAATGGCTAAAAAAAAAAAAAACTTGTATAGAGAAAGAAGAGCACTCAGAGAGCACATCCACCCAAAAAGTGCAAGTCTTATACTAAAACTTCAGTGTTTTATGTTTTGTTTTTTGTTTTTTATCACAACATGCTGCCGTCAACCTGTTATGGCATCATTGTGACCTTGTATTGAAAAAATAGCAAGTGTGTTGTACATGCCTTTTCATATGATATGTTACTTGATATGAATTTATTTTTCAAGGTCAGCTTTGAGCTTGGACACTAACAATGAAAGTTAAGGTCAGACGATTAGCAAACCCAGGTACGCGTGTCCCCCAATCGCTTCTATATTGATGTAAAGTTTAAATTGTGGGTAATATAAAGTTTTTACTGTTTTTCACCTAAATTAACTCAACTTGAGCGGTTATTGGGCTCTACCGTAACACAAAATTTGAACATGATATATTGAAAATTGTGGATGCTGGACTGCTAACAAACAAACAGGCAACCAAACAGAACTGATGACATACTCCGTTTGGGAAAGAATGAGGGAAGGCTCAAGACTTTTGCACAGCCCATACACATTCATATGCAGAATCTGTTAATGACTGAGATTAGTACACTATGAAGTGGAAAGTCGGCTAATTTGTAAAGCTGAAGAATAAACACACACAGAGAGACAAATATGTCTTTAATGGGACATTTTACATTTTGGGATAACATAAGATTGCTGATGGTTTAATTACCGCCACCAAGGAGGCCGTGTTTTTGGTGGCGTTTTCATGCGTGCGTGTCCTTCTGTCTGTAAACACGATAGCTGAAAATGTTATGAATGAAGCAACAGAACACTGAACTTTACTCACTGTTGTCAGGCCTTAATTACAACGTGAAATTTAACCTAGTTGTGTGATGCCACTGTGTTTGTGTTGGCAGTACATCTTACTCGCCCATCTCCAGGAGACCATCCCACCATAGAAACCATCCTTGAGAAAAAATAGCATAGTAACAGTAATAGAACAACACTGAAAAAACATTCCTAATTGAAACATAACATATCTGATCTGAAGTCACAGATTTTCACTTTAATAGAAAGCAATTTATTAATGTGGAAATCGTTTCCATGATCATTTTAAGTTGATTTAAAGAATAATTTTTATGGAGTGTTCAACAAAGTATTGAGTCTGGTTAACATAAACGTTTGATGGATTCATAATAACTTTCACATAGTTGTCATCCTCTTATCTTCATCAGGGTGGGGGATCGTATCCCAGGTGTCACAGGGCCAGAGGCAGGCTACACCCTGGACACGTGGTC